AATCTCTGCACTTAAGATTAAACATTAAAGTTGTACCTTGTGTTCGCATTGCCACCGATTGGTACAGTAAACAGCGGTCCGTAGCGAACCTCGATGGTCCGTAGGTGACGCTCCCTCCCACCAAATAACGCAACTCACGCATGAGCACATGCATGGCCATACCCAACGCGACCTATCAATCCCGTGGGATCTTTTGTTTATGTGAGAAATAGGCAAACGACCTGGCGGTTCACCTGACGTAAAGTGATAAAACCACCGCCCATTTACATTTGCATGCGTTGCCACCTTTTAATAAATGGGCCCGGCTACCACACCCACCAGACGAAATGCAGATGTGTAACAATTGTACTTCACGCCGGTCTTCTGTGAGGTCGTGGTAACTACCCGGACGGATCTGCCCATTCGTGCAACAGCGAACACTGTTGCGATGCCCTACCACAGAGTTCGTATCTGGCAAACCCACGAGTTCAGACTTCTATAAGGCTTTAATAGTCTACAGAATGAAAGCAAAATCATCACTCAAAGAACATACGTCGGCAGTTTAACATAAGTAAGAAGATGCAGCGAGAGCGAGAAATAAAACTGTAGAATAGAGATTAATCAATTGTCATTGTGAAAGAGAGATGTGCAGAAATGATTATCGTGCTCTTTCTATTACTTGGTTTATTTCGGAAAAATAGGACACTATCATGTCACTTCCGGTTCTTCAATGGGCAGTTCTTAATTTTTTCAAGACTTAATTTGTTACCGGCGGAATTTGAAATTTATGGTTTGAATAAATAAACTTTTATAAAAAGTGCGAAAAGATTGTCGCCGCTGTGGGAATCGAACCCACGTCTTCGGCATTCGCGGCCTGACGCTCTAGCCACTGAGCTAAACGGCTGATTGCCACACCGACGAAAATCCTAACGTCTTTTATCTACATTGTTTTTTTAGCATTTGAAGCAATGCGTGGCGCATCTATTGTTATCCTTTCCAGCATACAAACAATTTCGAATATTGTTTTATAACGATAACTAGAACGAGAGATGTCGCCACTGCTCATCCCTAAATCATCAGCATCAAAAAATTTAAAAAAAATCGGAAAATACAAATTTCGATTGTGCAATACAATCATAAACGAGACGACGTCCAAAACGGAAATGAACGTAGCAATTTGCATCTGTAATCTATTGGACGCATGGAAGCGGAAAAAAATACGTTACACCTTCCAGCATAAGGTCGTCTTTTGGTCCCTAAGTGGCGAATGGTTTGCCTGATAAATCCATTGCCCACTACTGAGGTTGCATAACAGACGCCGCACCGTATTTGGTGGCGCGGAACAGCTACTCGAATTTGGGCGTCATGTATCGGACGCCTATGGTACTCGTATATTTAGACAGTGAACGTCACCCATTCGGCCCAGACGACCGCCACATAGTAGCCGGTTCGATTTAGTGTTGAACTCTTGCGAACGAGAGATCATATTTATCAGGTTCTTAATTCGACTGTATTTTGTTTTTAATGTTTGTTACCTCATAAATTTCGACTGGGTGAACAAATTTTGATAAGATATTCTTTATTTATTTGAAAGCTTGTGCCTCCCATGTGGCCCCTATATTAATTTCATTGGTAATGGATCTCGGGCTCCGGAGATACTTAGGGGACACCTGAGAAAAACTACAGAGCGAGATATTTGAAGTCGGTTTTTTCTTTCGTTATTAAAAATAGATTTCTTATTGGGTTCGATTCACACGCGGGACAAGTATTTGTTCGGCACACAGATAAATCTTGCGTATTGCAAAAGGTTGTCAGATGTAAAGAACCTAGTCAATAACAATAGCAAATAGATTCACTTGTGCCGACTCTAACTTGGTGGGATAAGGCCGGAAAGATTATGATTATCATGTGTCTAAGACCATAACCTTCCTAAATAGGTACTTCTACTTTGGCAGCATTTGTACAGTGAAACTTCCTGGGTCAAGCAAACCTGTTGCATGTTTTCCAAGCAAAGCTGATATGTCAATTGTACTTGCTATCTCTCTAACTTATTATGGTCAAAGCTGAGACAGGATAAATTTGTACTTAGACACTAACACCGTACATACAGGGAGGATTTTCTAAGTGTATCCATTTTTTAAATTAAATTCTAGACATTAATAGTGTTATATAAAAAATGATTAATATTTTAAATCACTCGTAAGTAGTTAATTACATTCATTTGAAATTATCTCAAAAAGTGCGTGATTTATACGCAACTCATTTATTTTATGCGCGATCATTCATAACAAACAAGCACACAAATTCGTCTGTGTGGACCTGGACTCACCAGTTTTCTTATTACTTTTATTTAAAAACAAAAGTTTTCCTCTTAAAAGCGTATAGGACGCTATTATTTTCCTTTTTACAGTTACTTGAATTTTTACTCATTTCAGATGTGTATTAATCATTGTGTGATACTTATTCACAACTAGCCCCGCGGCTTCACTCGCGTTGAAGCCCTTTAAAAACTATGTATATTTTTTAAAGAAAGATATTTTCAACCCTTTACAACACTTTTTTCCAATTAAAAAATACCGTCCTTTCGCAGGCTCTAGACTATCTGTGTACCAAATTTCATTTAAATCGGTTCAGTAATTTTGGCGTGAAAGCAAGACAGACAGACAGAGTTTCTTTTGCATTTATAATGTTAGTATATATTAAAGCTGTTACCAGATGGTACAAGAGAGTTCAACGGGTTTCAGTATATAATATGATTATGATCTAGTACAAAAGGTTGTTAATTACTATAACAATGTCAGTCTATGCTATGAATTTTATGCATGTAATAACTGAAAACTCAATGTTGCAGACCAATCAGATTAGAATTTGCGCTATCCCATCTATAGTTGACATCCCAGCTATTATGCTAATCCAACTAATAAATAATGCAAAACATTAATATAAATAAGGAATTCTTCTGTAATTGTTTAAAAATGTATTGTTCCATATGTGCTGTAAGCTGTCTGTCTGGCTGGATGTTTTAAACAAATGAAATCATAGTCTTGAGATAAATACAAGCATTTAAGCCTCACTAGGGTCGACACAAACACCTATGGCTTTTCCTATTGTGCTTGTCAAGTAATCGAAACATGACAATTGTTGAACTTGAAGACATCAGCTACCACAGCACTTAACAGTTTCTTAAAATGCCAATATTGTAAGTTACAAACAAAAAATTGATTTATTGGTTGGTTTAAACTGTTTACTTCGTCTATAGTAATATATTTTATATCTTGAAAAGTCTTTATTTCAGTTTCAATAAAAACTTCAGACAATTTTGGGGTATTTCCACAGCACACTGCTCTGCAATATCTACTAAGGGAATATTCCCTATTAGGTGTTAAACCTATTTAGGTTTTAAAATAGGTTGAGTTTTAACTTAATCTATTGAAAGCTATGTCATCAGAGAGTATCATGGACAAACTGCAATAATGTCACCTGAGTTATTATAACTTTGTAATAATGAAAACTGGGAGATAATGCCTGTGGCATTAAGTCCACCTCTGTACAGTTTGTGCATAAAGTATAAATAAATAAATAAATAAAACTATTGATGTACTTAAAATATACACCATTTTATACTACTTATCATTATCCACAATAAAGCTCATGAGACTTACATCTAACAGTTATTGTTAATTCAACCTATCCACTTTTTGTTCCAATCGCTCAATATGATGACATTGTATGCGTGATGACATTTGTATTACAATAATTATAAGGTGGATTATTATTAAATGTTTCCAATCTGACTTTTTCTTGAGAAATGATAACAGGTGAAAAATTGATAAAGAAAGTGAGACAAATACTGCTGTGTAGGTGAACATTCAAAGGTATAGTCTGTAAATTTCTTTTAGACATTTTATTTATTTTAGAAAGAATTGAAGGTAAATGTAAATAACTTTAAGTCTGGCGTAATTCAATTAAAATAAATATTAAATGATAGAGAAAAATCACTAATGAATTTATCAACAAGCAGAATTCGGCGGTCGCTTATAGTTTTGGAAAAAATAAATAATGAAATAGTGTGATTTTTACTATAGAAATCTGCCATTTTTTTGTTGTCAATATGTCAATTCTGCTCCTATTTCTTGGTGGTCATAAAAAAAACCTAACCTCGAAGGTTACCTGAACCTTCTAACCTAATCTATCCGAGTCGGATTCGCTCTGTGTCGGTTCTGTGACTCATTAAATTAAAAAAAAATCAGACTATCGATACGTGTATGATGTCGCCCGCTTCCTATATTTATCATGTTGGCAGAACTGTGTATTGAGTTTTTGAAGTCAAACAAATAAAATGGTGGATTTCTTAGTAAAAATAACAAGTTTTAAATATTTTTTTCTCAAAAACTATAAGCGACCGCCAAATTCTGCTTGTTGATACATTCATTAATGATTTTTCTCTATCTTTTAAAATTTATTTTAATTGCATTACACCGGAGTTAAAGTTATTTACATTTGCCGATTTGAATAGTAATTTGCAATCTCTCTAATAATTAGGTTATACTTAATACTTAATCCATCTATTCGGCTAAGCTGAAAAGGATGGTAATTGTTATTAGTAATATACTATTCAAATTGTTACTTTAATATAATATAATAATTATTATGTAAATAAATATGTATTTTAGAACTATCTCATATTTGTCTGTATTTTTGCTTATTTTATCTATCTATTAATATTTTTTTACTCTAAAGGAAATCAATGAATACATAAGGATAATACATGTCTATGTTTTAAGGGTTCCTTGCATATTTAGAGAAAAGTTGTTGAAAAGGTGCAACATGCCTTATCGTTTAATATTTACTAATCATAACTTTTGATTTGATATGATATTATATGGAATACATTTTTTCCACCTCAAATTACAATCAAAATATTTTTATTTACACAGAAATTTGTATTTTAAACCATGATGACACTTTGTGTTAACATGAATGAAAGTTATGGCCTTTTAAAAATTAATTAAGTTAATCACCTGGACATATCATTTGGATCAAATGACACTCCAATCCCAGGGTTCGCCATCTCGAAGCCGGTTAAAATGCAGGCCAATTAAGACTCTACCGTCCCCACATTACTGCCGGAAGTGAGCTCGATGCACCAAGTCCAACGGCCCCTTTACCGTCCTCACGGGCAGTCTTCACGTTTCAACGTTTGAACGATTTCTTACAACACTAAGAAACATAAGTTCCGCAGCCCCTATACAAGATAATTACAAATTGTTGACATATATCCTCTGCTAGTGTCATCAGTGCTCACCACACAATGTTCACATCAAAACACATGTTTTCGCGATGTTAGCGCGCTGATCAAGCGTCGCTGCTCGTGCGCGCTCTTCACCGACTAACTTTTGGATGAGGTAAATTAAATTTGCTCTATAATTAGATTGAATTATAAATAATGTTCCACGGAGTCACACACGCAAAGTTTCGAACGATAGGGCGTAGACAAAAGTGCAGAGTGCAGATTTTTTTTATTTTTTGACGCATAATCTTCCTTGGCGGGTATTGTCAATGGTATTGGTAGATTAATTAGATATTCGTAGATTATCCAACCATCTTTGAACCAATAATAGCCCTAGTTTTTTAACTATTACAATTACTTTTATATTTTTTTATCAGTAATTTTTAATTGTTTGTATTAAAAAGTATTTTAATAAATAGATCAAAAAGGTTACCTTTTTGCAGTTGACAACATTGTTTTCATTACACATCATCTTCAAAATTTTAGTCTATGGATCGTGTCCATTGTTTTTCTACAATGTTATTTTTCTGACTGCTGCTGGTGGACGAAATATTTGTCTCGCTGCGTCGAGTGTGACTTTGTGCTAGTGTTCGTGTTCGATACAGTGATTTATTAGAAATAGATCACGAAGATGTCGTCACCGAGCGCTGGAAAACGCCGTATGGACACAGATGTCATCAAACTGTATCCTTTGTTATCTTCATTACAAAGCACCTATTGCACTTAGGGCCACCATGTAAATAAGTAGGTAGCTTGAAGGGCCATCAGCTGATTGTCACGACTCAATATAAAATCGATAGAATTTATTCTTGTGCGTGTGTAGGACGTTTCCAACATACTGTATAATTTATCAAGATTTGTATGAGCATATTTCGTCACACAAGGGAACCCTTAATAGATACCCATGAGAAGTGTGCATTCTTTGTGAAGCGCCGTGGTACTACGTATCTATATATATCACATAGTAATTACGCACGAGTGTATGCTAGCTAGCTGTTCACTCTTCCGCGTCTCTAGATTGTATTATTTCGTAATCTTAATGTAGGCCACGGTCTCGATTGCGTATTTTTTTCTATTCTCTAAGGCCTAACACGCACGAATAACGTTTTTATTAATGTTAATTGCAATTAAGATAGAAGATGATAGCAGCTAATACAGAGTTGTTTTACTGGCATTAAAATGTGTGTGCCTATGTCTTTGTTAACAAAGAAAACAAATGAGACATCATGTCTATTTCTGCTATTGTAAATTGATATAAAGTCTTTTTATCATTTAATTTGAATGTTAAGCTAATGGAAATGTGAATTTGGCTCCCTTCCAAATGCCCACTAAATTTAAATACAACATAATAAATAAGCAGTAGTAAATGCAAAGCACATTTTATTACATTAAGTACAGAAATATTTCTCCATACATTTACCTTTGATTGTTCATTTCATAGTTTTAATAAACAAGATTCATAATTTTCAACTTTGATATTGATGGTATTAGTTAAATTGCATCTTTATTGGTCTCATTATATTTTTCACCAACCACTAATTGCATCTTTGTGGCAATGTATTAGGACAGCATTTTATTAAGAATGGTAAAACTAAACTAAATCCTCTGTAAATAGTATAAATTTAAAAAAAATGTGTGTTGTCATTAATATTTATTCACATTTTAATTAATTGCAATAATGAAACATACCTTTTGTCTTATAGTCTATGAATATCTTAGTATGCCTCAAGTAATTTATATCTTATTTCCATAAAGTTATCATTAAAAATGTAAAAATATTTATTCCCTGTATTAAATGAAGTTTACTTGAGTGAATTAGCGTATTATAAATTATGTTTTATAAATCTAAATAGACTTGACTAATTAATTTATTCAATTGATTCAAGATGTTATTTGCATTGTCCTTTGTTCTACTGTCACTCAATACTTTTTGTAATTTAGCTTTTATTTTATATTTATCTAATAGTGAAAATCAACTGCTTTTTTTTAAAACTTGTTTTCACATATTTTTAACTAGGTATATTGTTTTTATTGTATTGTTTTCAAGGTATGGTACCTTTATGTTTATTGGAGACTTCTTTACTTTAACCTTTAATACTTATATCTGTATGCACAAATATTCATAAAAAATGTTATGAAGATATGCATTTTCTATCAATATGTGAAAATAAAATTTATTACTTTTGCAATAATTTCAGAAACAAAATATGGTTGAAAACTTGATTTCACATGTTGTCACGTTTCAGACAATGCAATATGCAGGTCAATGATGAGGTCTAAGAAACTCATCAGCTAGTTTGTACCACTATGCTTTCCAAACTATTGTTCTTTTATCCATTGGTAAACAATGTTCTACAAAGTTTCTCTTATTGTATTACCTATTTATTTCAATTGCAAATTATATTTTTAGCAAAGATTTATTACCACCATTGCCCAGTTCCTCTAGCCACATTGCGACTGGAGCAGCTGATAAGATAATGATTTATTGATAAGATTGTGCTATCAGCAATGTCTAGTATATGTTTTATGGAAATATGCTGGGAAATTTGTTTAATAGCAACGGTTTGGCCTAGTTGTGGCTTATCTAAAGTTTTAATGGATTAAGTCATCTCAAAGTTTTCTTATTCTCTTGTTTTAATTAAACCAAAAATATTCATACATGATCAATGAGAGTATACATCTTAGTTATTAATATGACGCTATATCCGCCATCTTAGTAATTATACTTATTTCATAAAGAAGTTAAAGCTATTAAATGTTTATTTCTTTACATCACATCTTTAGTTCAATAAAAAGTAAAAAATAAATTGAAAAAAAATACCTCCAATATGCCCCACCCAATCACTAGAAAAATGTATGGTTAAATATAGTTTACTAAATATCCATATTTAAACTACTAAACAGTTGTTCATTTTGTGATCCATCTTAAAAATAAATAGATATTTCTTTAAATATTTTTAAAATTCCAAGCTTTTACACTGTGTGTTGTACTTATTTAGCCCACCACGAATTACACATTCCTACGAGCGTCTCTGCTGAGCTTATAATCGATAAATGATTAATTTCAAAGGTCTCCAAAGAGTCTCACTTAGACCTTTGAGATGCCATAGATATGGTACTGCCCCAAATTTCTTTAAATGTGTTTTAATCTTTAAATGTGTTTTCTGTAATGTGTTTTAATTAAATTACCCCATTTCCTGAATGGACAGAATGCAAAGGCAGCTTGCAAAAAGAGTATTTTTAACATGTTGGCTTGGTCTGAGAGTCTGACCCATGATGTGATGAAGGGCGGTGCAGGCGGTGATCTTGAACGCATTTGCTAAGTAAAAGCATATGCGCTCTTGGCTCCAAGATATCCACGCCATGTATTATTAAAATGCCACTCCTTGGCAGTCATTACATACTACAACAAAAATCACTAAATAATTTTAATTTATATTTTTAAATCAATCATCTATTCTTTCCTTATCCGGTCGGGCAATCTCAGTTCATACCGATGCTGGAAATGGTGCGGAATCGTATGTAGAAAATAACAAATCAAAAATAAAAAATCAAAATTTGAAAGCAGGATTTTTTTTTCTTTTTCAATTATAAAATATCTACTTTTAAAGAATTAATGTGATATTTAATATATATTAATGTATACTTGCATGTAATGTAATGTAATACTTGCTTACATTTGCCTTGATCATCGTCATTTAATTAAACTAGTGCCTTGCATTTTGGAAGATTATAATAATTCTGTTGTTGGCTTACAAATTGACATAATTTCCATAACCATCACTAATTAGCATCGAGAGCAAGCACGAAGTGACGATCCTGGGTGGCCTTAACGAGTTCTGCGTGAAATTCTTTGGACCACCAGGAAGTGAGTCTACCAATATTATTCTTTCGAATTAAATTGGGCCATACGCAAAAACTAATTTTCAATTATAAATGAAACTATTTTTACGGATTTATCGCGTTTATTTTTAATTTTAGTTCCCTCAGTAGTTAGTAGTTTAGTTAAGTCTGCAGTTTGTGAGCACACTCTAAATCGGCCCAACCACTACATCAGGTTTGATAGACCACAGATCCATGCAAAAGAACACCGATTCCTCCCAAGGATGATTCGTGAGGCTATTGAAATTAAAAAACACCCTAATTTCAATAGAGAAGAGGGTTGGGTACTACCATCAGCTTGGGATCCTGTCATCAATAAAATTAAATCTAAGCCCAAACGAACCACTACTGCAAGACAAAATACAATTAGCTCCCTCTGCATAGATCGGACACAAAATTAATAATACAAAAACTGACGGTAGCCCGGGTTAACTTTGACAATCAGACGTCTAACACCTCAGTCTGTCCCGTGACCATGAACGCTGTAAAGGGTTCGAAACGTCGGGAACTAAAATTAAAAATAAACGCGATAAATCCGTAAAATTAGTTTCATTTATAATGTGTAATCGCGTAAATACAAGAAATTATTAATTTTCAATTTTTACAATAAATTACACTATGATTATGATAGTTTTTCTATGGTCCTTCGGGCCGGATCTCCTTTATTCGCTGTGCTTTATACCATTCCAGCTCCTTACGAGGGCGGCGTGTGGCGCGTTCGCGTACATCTGCCCGATCATTACCCGTTCAAGTCGCCATCGATTGGTTTCATGAACAAGGTTTATCATCCGAACATCGATGAAGTATCCGGAACCGTTTGCCTAGACGTCATCAACCAAGCTTGGACGGCGCTGTATGGTGAGTTCCAAATTCGCTGTCGACTAGCGTTGTCCGATTATTTATTTATTTTTATTTTATTTGTTTATTACGTTTAATTCTGGGCTAGTTTTATTTTAATTATTAATAATCGTTAGAAAATATGCAAATTTCCTCACTATGTTTTCCTCCACCGTCGAGCACGTGAGTCAGCACTTAAAATTAATAATTTTATTGGTGCAGCATTGTGCCAGGGATTGAAGTCAGATTGCTCTATAATACTGCATTAAAATCGAGCGTCCGAACAATGAGTTATTACAGCTCTGTAGGAAGAAACCTGCATATTTTAAAAATAATAAATAAATTATCCGTCAATCTGAAGTCGCTTGGTGAACTATGCATGCGATAATTCATAGTCTACCACGCGACCTTAACGTGGATTGACAGACTTCACGTATCGACTAAATGTTTTTTTTTTAAATTATAATTCTTTTCGATGTTTCCTTCACCGCGCAATTAGGCTGCACGAGAGACTACGTCTTTCTATTATATATGTCGGAAGAAATCTGATCCCTAATTTAAAAAAATACAAGCTCATACTTTATAAAATCTTCTTTATCCTGTCCTCCTACCATCGTGGTAAAGTCAGCATGTGAAGCATGTTGATAATGTTTTTTTACGACTGTTGCCTGCGTGACGTCAACCCTCCACACAGATCCGGAATTAGATTGAACACCCATATCCGGAATTATCATTTGTGATGATTCAAATAATTGTCCCGTGTGGGAATCGAGTCCTACCCGGTATCTTAGCCATCACAGTGGTTTACAGAGATTGATGGCGGTAAGTTTATAAGCTTTTAGGGCTATATTTGTTAATCACTTCCACTCGGTGACTCGTATATTGCAACTCTAACGTATTTGTATTGACCGCCGAGTGTCCCTCGATCGTCCGTGTGTTTCCCGAGTATGTCTCGATTGTCCGCTTGTCCAAAATAACGTTTAATCGTTAACATCGCGACTCTAAAGGGTCTCTGCGAGTGAGTGCATGGCGACTCCGCCATTGTCTTGCGAGTCCCCAAGAGTTTCTCCCGATTTTCCCTCTATATGCGAGTGTGCCTTCGATTATTTTCGAATGATCTTCGTTTTCGAGTAATTTGAACGTAATCTCAATTACAACGGAGCTGCGCTATATGTATGCGTCAATCTGCCTACGCGCTTGTCCACGCGTCACAATTTGCTTACGTGGCAAACAACACCTGTCCTTACACGCTGCAGTCTAGTTTACAGGTGTGCTATGATGGAATCTCGATTGTATTCAAGCAGTAGTCACTATGGGTTGGTTCGCCGTTCGGCACCATGGCAACACTGAATTCCTGCCAAGGCAACAGGTTCAAATGCCCACAGAAAATGTTCGATTGGTTGTGTAAAGAAGTTGTATGCCTATACTGTACTACAAGAGTAGCTTAACCACCGGAAATAATGTAGTAAATTTTGGATTCAGTGGTAGTTTGGACTTCCAGGAGAGCTTGGGCATGAATTAATTTAAAAAAAATGAATTAATTCAAAAAAAGTATGTGTGTCCTTATGCAAGAAGTTATAGAACTTTAGCGTAAAGACATTAATTGCGATTGATAACGGTTTATTTAAAGTAGTGGTCGCTTATTGGTCGAAATTCGACCAATTCATAATTAAATGTACATGGCAGTGTGTGTAATTTTTTATTATATATAATTTAAAAAAAATATTAGAATTCAGCACTCCTTTAAACTATAAGTGTGAGAAATTTCATACACCTCCGTCCACGCAATTTTTCACGTCCAGTCCACGCATCGTAAAAATTCTACTCATAATTTTTCCAAACGCACCAAAAGATGTATAACTTCAAAAATTGACTCTAACGCAGGAACACCATATGTCTGACGAGAAGGCTAACCAGGGATCTACTTCGTTGCAGATCTTTCGAACATCTTCGAGTCGTTTCTACCGCAGCTACTCACCTACCCAAACCCAATAGACCCTCTGAACGGCGACGCGGCCGCAATGTACTTGCACAAACCCGAGGAGTATAAGAAGAAGGTTTCAGGTGAGGTCTTCCGCAGTCGACTATTATAGTTGGGTGCGAACGGAGATTTGTAAAGAGAGTCGGTTTGTCTGATAGAGAAGTTGTGACTTCGCAGCTATATGTGAATACGTTGCTTTAAACGCATCCAACAGCTGATGATTATGATGATGACTGACCATCATGAAGCTCAATTAGCTCATGATCCGAATAGGCCAAGTACTAAAAGGTGAATTGAAGGGTGAAGGTCCAAAGGTTATATTTAATGACATTGGAATCATATTCTCAAAGCGACATCTCCCGGTATAATCTTGTGGTCGAAGCGAATGGAACATCATCTTTTCCTCAAAGCTAAATCGTAACATGTAAACTTTCATAGAATTGGGAATGAACAGAGGGCCTCTTGTCAAAAGGCCCAACCATACATGTGTAAGTTTAAGGTGGCAGGGCCACACTACAGATTCGGCTGTTGCATCAATGGGCAGGTTCGGGGAAGTACAAGCGTCACAGAAGACCGGCGTGAAGTGGAAGTATATTACACTTTCGCGTTTTGTCTGGTGAGAGCCAACCGAGGTACACTTTTAAACGTTGCCATGGACGGCCGTAATCACTTAACAGGTGAATCGCCCGCAATTCTGAACAAGAAAAGTTAGGTCCAGGACTCGTTACAGTGTTAACCGTTGTCCGCGAACGATCTGTCGCTCCGTCTCTCCTCCACTTGCGAATTCCAACCGAGTATGTCCGTGCCCCTCTAACGCACATACGGGCCCCGCGCAGACTACGTGCGCCGTTTCGCCACCGAGGAGGCGCTGCTAGAGAAAGACGCGATAACCGGCATGGGCGGTACGCCCGCCTCCTCCGGCAAGCAGAACGGCGCGCACGCGAGCGACACCGAGAGCTCAATGAGCGACTTCAGCGACGACGCCGCCCACGACATGGAGTTATAACGTCAGTTGTCGGCACGCGCGCGCCCTCTCGCGACCGTTAGCGTGACGCGCCGCGGCTAGGGGGACTAGGCTATGCTAGGCTAGGCTAGAGTAGGTTACGTTAGGGTTGTTCCGCTCCGTGCCACCGTGGCCATCGTTCGCGCGACTAGCCGGACGCGTTCCGAGTACGGCGGCTTTCTGTCGAGTTCGTAGTTTGGTTGCACTCCAATCCGGATCTTCTGTTATCGTCTTCTACGATTGCCTTCTGGCAATATTCGCCGTATGTTGGTCCGAACTCGATGCAAACACGCCGTCGCATTCGTAACCGTCGTATGTGTCGTGAAGACTAGCGGCCGGCGCGATACCGATCCTATATATAGTCTCCGTTCCCCCTTCCCATGCGCAGAGCGCCGCGCATACTTAGCGTCCACATTCTAAGACTTCTTCAACGGACAGTGCACGAGCGAACTCCCCCTCGACCGCGTCGGCGCGTCAGTCTGCCTTGCGTGAAGCTGGAACGCGATCGTATCTAGGATTGCGGTGAACAAAGTTTGTGACAATATCCCCCGTTAAGCGGGCAGATTTTAATCATTGGCGTAAATTTCCTCCCTTTTTTAAAAAACTGATCCTCTTAAATAACTATTTTCCGCGATTAGCTTCTCCAAATACATTTCGTAGAGTGAAAACGATTCTTGAACGTTACCATTTATCCCGCCAAAACATCGTGTTCTGTCATACTGTCAGAAGAACGTCGAATTCGAAATTCGAAAGTGACGTAAGCAAAATTGTCCTCGCCGCATTGTTAGGTGCGTATCCGCGTTACAGTCTCACGTAAATTTCACCCCGCACATGACGTGTCACGCAAGAGCCAGTACTTATGTAATCTATATAAAATCCGAAGTCATGTTCCCTGCCTACCAGAGATGTCTGAAGCAGTTTCATATTTTATGGACCACGAATTGCCAATTTTAGAACGTTAGTTTAGCATCGAATTTAAAAATAGTGTGCACATCTTTTTCTAGGCAGCGAACGTGAATTGAAACGGTGATATGAAGTGTGAATTTTGACCATCCACTCTGATCTTACCATGTGAGAACATTTTTTTGAATGATAAAAATTAAATGATTCGGCGTTGAAAATAAAATCAACTAAATTGTCTATCGCTTTTCCACTATCACATAGTGTTTATGCGTAAGGTTAGCTGTAAACTATAAAAGAGTGTTCACTACATTCGGTGCAAATAATTAAAAAAGAAAAACAATAAAAATCTGCACGTACGCTAGATTTAGCTCTGATCGACTAAAATTAAGTTGTAACATTGGTTGTCAAATTACTTAAATGGAAAAAAAAAACAAGAAGCTTACAAAGTGCAAGTCTTGAATATAAAAATTTGCATGAGTTACCTTAAAATATAACTGGTAGATTTACTACTTTATCTACATTAAAAAAAAATCTTTTCGAAAATGTACACCTATCCAAATATTATATAATGCTGGCTACACAACGGTCATAACAGTCGAGCGAGACAGCTTTTTGTAAATACCTCTAATCTGTTCATAGCATAAATCCAACTTAAATCTATGAAACGTCCTCAGAAGCGGACTAAAGTCATCACTATATCTCATAGGTATTTAATTATTTTTTATTCTAGATTAAATTTTTAAACAAATGATGTGTCACTTTTTGTGCTTTTGTCCGTCTCCCTCTGACAATACTACCAACTAGTAGAATATATTTTTGTTGATAGCAACACGGAAAGTTCTTTTAGGCCAGTCGTTCCAGTGTCATCAAAAATACAATATGTAAATCTGTGATCAGTTTTTCCTTTATCCCCTAGGAGAAACCATGTCAATTGCCAACAGAGGTTGAGAAATTTTAATTAAATATAACATCTGTACTTAGTGTAATTGCTCCTTCGCTTATGTATTTCTTAGCACAATCAATGTTTATCAATATTTCTTTTTATATAATTCTCATGAATTTATATTATAAAATATTAAAAAAAAAAACAAATAAGTTATATCGACTTTAAGCTAGATCAACATAGATTATTTCCTAACGTTGTTTAACCTGTTGCAGAAGTGATAGACAGATTGCCCTTCAGTTTTTACTACTTATTTTACGCCGAGACAGGCAAGACCATCATTTTAAAAACCGCCAATGGACGTCCCCATGTAACGGTGTTACGCGCAAACACGAAAATACAGATTATACAAAGGGAACGGACATAGAAACAAATCCCGCGCGAAATTATCCGCTAGCGCCAAATAACTAGCATTGCCTTTGCGTGTCGTGATGATTCGTTGATGAGGGAAATCGACGCTGACCTAATATTGCCAAAACTTTCCTCTTTGGCTGCGTTTGGCAGTTTGTTTTTGGGCAGACATTGTGGAAAAGCAATTGTAACACGAGTTTATTCGAAAATTAGAAGAAAAAAATCCTGTCATATCGATTCTTTATATCTTTACTATACTGTACAATGGGTGTTATTTTTGCAAAATTTAATATTGATGAATCAATCTCAACAAGCTCTGTTTAATAGGTTAGATGTATCTGTTAACATTCTTTCGATCGCTAACAGCAGAAGGAAAAAAAATGTCTGAAAGAACATCTCAAAATGACAAATAACGATACAGATCTCTAAAAATGACATGTTGCGAACCTAAAAGTGTTGCAATCGTCTCTATTATTAAGTCTAGGTTACGTATAGATATAATATGAAAAAAATATATATATTATTATTATAGACATATTATGTATCTTCGAAATGATAACTCAAGCCATAATAATATATTTTGGTATAAGGAGGTAACAATTTAAAAATTTTAGTTTGTAATTTGAAAGTTGGGTTGACTGGTCAATATTTGCAGTTGTGATGGTTACAGTTTGGTAGGTGTATGAGCTTTCACGTCCACCCAGCTTCTCAAGTTCGGATTGCACAGATATGTTAGTGTTAAAATCGTTGTGGTATCGATGTTTAGTCTTACATGTATTGGGGGCGGAACGCCTGTTCCATTGTTAACCATAGAGTAATCTCTTATCATATTTAATTATCTTTCAATTTCTCGCATAAATATATTAGGATTACTCTGAATGGAGGTACAGAGCGTTCTCGCCTGAAGGGAGCCGTTGGGTGATGGGACATTTCAACTATCGCGATTTTCCGTTAACCATAAACAATTGCACATGTTTTGTGATTTTAAAATCGCAATAGGTGTCAGTCCAAGCGTTGTTCCAGAAAATTCCATAGACAAAAAATTCGAACCAGATTGATCCTCATCATCCCACGATTGCCCTTCGGTTTTATTTTTAAACGATGACGATCTAACGATAGTGTACCAAATCAACGCGTCAGGCTCGCTCGTCCGGAGATTGTGGCGACCGTTATATACATGTAACAGAATAAAACGTTTATAGTTTATTTTTATTTCATTACATGTAATAAACTTACGTTATTTTTAAACTAAACTTTGTTTTTATTTTCCTTCAAACTCCTAGTGTTTTCTACGCAACTCATTGAAGTTTTTAAAAAGTTGTGAACTTGATTAAACAGGCCCACTATTTTCAAATTCAGAGAAGACTCGCATTGAATGGAAGTTTAATTATAATACGTTTGCGTTTCTTCTGGTGAGGTGACCGGGACCCAATTTTAAAGTTTCCAACGCATCTGCCACCCTTAATGTTCTAGATGTCCATGGGCTGCGGTATTTTTCCTACGCAGGAAAATCCTTTAGGGATGCCCCGCCACCGAACGAGGGAATGGCAAAACTCACGTAGCACTGTCGCATCTGCCAGCAACAAAGGCAAACGAAAACAATATCAGCGACCCCGACGCGACCATGGCCTTCTTTCGGTATTAGAACATCCAGGCCAGATATTTGATGTTGTGCCGATGCGATTAGCTTAGCACCCCTCACGAGCGCAGACAACCCCTCAATCAGGGGTAAGGTTGCCCGCCTAAGCCTCCTGGGCTCTAGTTCCGGCAGATATCCAGGGATACTCAGGGAGGACTGCTATGGGCACCTAAGGGCACCCTCAATACCCACCATAGGCCAGAACTCCCAGAGAACATTTATCTGTAGTCCACAGGAATACTTATAGAACCCCGTTGTTTAGTCTTTATTTTATTATTTTTAATTTTATTGGGGACATTTATTTGATTTCTCGTCTGATTGGGTTTATAGATAAAAATAAACATTTAGATATAAATATAGTGTTATTGTATTATTATTAATCTCTGTCTAGTAACTGGAAAATAATGTAGTCTAATAACAAGGAATTTATGAAATAAAACAAACACAATTGATTTAATAACATAACTCTATTTAAAGTAAACATTTTAACAACAGGCCCTATGTACAAGTTCGCCATTTCTCTATCTACATTCGTACGGCAACGCTAACACGCTGTGTAGTCAGTGTCGTTGACCATGGGCCAATCTAGGGTGGAAAATTTACAGAGGTAGTAAACATTGTTGGTGAGAATATATATTGTATTTAAATCAGGAGAAACATAAGGACTACATTCGAGAAGTGATTAACAAAACTAATAACTAACAGGTTTTGTTATTTGCTCTTCGAGGTAGGTATAAAAAGTCAAGTCTGTTTTTGTCTTATATATTTTATAAGTATTTAGACTTCAATATGTAAATTGCATAAAATATACTAAAATACTTATAACAACCATATTGCCCTGAAGTTCGCTACAATGGCAACATTAACGGTAATATGTGAATTACTTTCGAGTTTCAACTCTATAAACTATTTTAAGAAAACACATTTATTACACCATAGCAAAATGATATACATATTGTGACATTTTATCTATATTAAAACACGAGCACATAAATCAACAAACATTCACACATCTGAAAATATATTTTATTAGTGTCCAATTAGTGTCAATTAAAATATGTCCAAGATAATCATTTCTTATCTTTCTCTATTTACTAATGTCCAAGAAAAGTTGATGCAGAAAATGTTGCTACCAACTACTCGCGTAGCCAAAAAATACTGTTTGAAATTACGCGCGTTTTTTAGGATTATTAATCAATACAACAAAATACTTTACTTTATCTTTCGCCACCATTTTATTTAATTCAGTTATTACTTTGTAGCAGCATTTTTTCACCATGCTTTCTAATCCTGTGTTACAGATTTTTGATGTAAGATAGTTCATTGATACAGAATTAAGGCAGAGAAATTTTTGGAATTTTTCACTAGCGGACAAAATATGAATTTTTAATAGTTTCGTCTACTACCGTCCATCCTGTTTTACTATTTCAAATTCTCAGATGAACTATATTTCACTAGCCATCCCTTATATGATCGCAAGTTATTTACTAAATATCATCTTTACATACTCATTTTATTGCAATTTTAATGTAGTTTATAATTAATTTAGTGCAACCTTCAAAAATGGAGGCGGCTTTCAACCGAGTTGTATTTTATTATGTAGTTTTTACTCCCATGCAGTTGCACATTTATGATGATGCTCCTGTCTCTAGTAGTTACTTCTAATATAATTATAATTTCATATACAATTATATTAAGTGTTCCCTTTGTCACATGCAGAGAAGGTGAATTGAATGGTTTACACATTATATTAATAATTTATGACTAAGGCAATTATCGTGAATATGTATTTGCACCCTAGAATGGCCGTCATGTCTTAAATGCTATCTGGTGTTTAGCATATACATTTGAGCACACATAAAAATAGTGTTATTATTCATAGTTGCACATTCATAAATTCATCCAGCATTTGTGATATTGTTGAACATTGCATTTCAATATTAAATCAAACTAGTTTACGGATTTTATCGCGTTTTTCGCCGGGAGTTCAAATTAAAATAAAAAACGCGATAAAATGATTTTATATGTAAAATATTCGCGTAAAATCGAGAAAACAATATTGCATTTCAATGTTCTTTCAAATAATAAGCACGCCTTTGTGTTTTGGACTTCAAGCCTAACAGTTTTCTTTAAAAGATAATATGTTCATCATTTTTACACTCATTCAATGATATGATACGGATATAATCAATGCACTGCTTAAAATTTATTTAATGTTTAGGAACTTAATTTATTATAACATCTGCAATATTTACTCAAATGGTAATGTTATATATTGTATTGTAGAAGTCACAATAACCACTGGAACTTGAAAGATCTATTGTAGTCTTTCCTATGACCACATTGCCCAATTACTGTAGGATTACTTTGTCCTGTGTTGTAAGGATGTTTTACATACATAAATTTCACGTGGACACATACATCCTTACTAATATTATAAAGGCAAAAGTTTGTATGTATGGATGAATGTTTCTTACTCTTTCACAGAAATACTACTGTATGTATTTTAATGAATCTTTACAATGATATAGCTTATACATCAGAATACGATAGAGGCTATAATTTATATACATATTTTATGTATATCTGTCTTTCTGTCTGAATGTTACGCCTTCAGCCTATTTTACGCAGACGTAGTCTCGGGCATTAGCTAGTAATGTCGTATAACTGAAGTACAAAACTAGGTCTATACAAGTAAGATATTTATGATTGTAAATAATGGTTTAAGTATTATTTTATTCAGGCATTGTACGGTACACGCGTAACATCAAAAAGAGCCACACAGCAATCTTATTTTCATAACCAATTGTGTAATGAGCCATGTCTTCGAATGGCTAGCAAAAAGGTAACAAAAATTCCTCTATCTCATTGCCCATACTCATAAAAGCCATCAAAATCCAATAGCCATTGCAATGAAAGTCCAAAACGCAACTTACACAATCACACATAGACACGCATTGTTGAAAGTACATTGTGGACTCTTTATTAAGCCCCTTTTAAAAAATAAAAGTTACAGATTACGAAATTTTTTGCACAGTGCTTTCTCTTTTTATTAATCTTATGTTGCTCTTTGTAATTAATAAAAATTAAGGAATTATTGAGAAAAACTTTTGTTTAGGCTTGTTGTCATTTTCAACTGCTCTTAGGTGCAGAAGTAGTGTGGGTTCATCATACTACTGCGACACTGGTGAACCTTAAACATGTGGCGATACGACCCTAAAAGTCGCACTATCAACATTTAATACAATAACTTTGGGATTCATACAGCACAAACGTTCTCCGGTTTACCACTAGGACACTTCCCTTCAGATACCACATTAGGAGGCACCGCACCTGCACAGCACTCGCTTAGCCAATGATCAGTCCGCAACCAAACTTGAATTGCTGCTTCGCTTGGTTCGCCATTCCGGAAAGGGCGAACGTAAACGGCAGGGGCTGGAGTTTCTTCTCCAGAACAGCCCCAATGTTCCAGTTTGAGTCCACCATACCTGTAATGTATACAATCAAAGTCAAAATTCCTTTATTCCATGTAGGCTGGTTTTAAGCTCTTATTGAACGACAAAAAACTACCAGCGGTTCACTAAAACCTATCCAGAGGCGAACCAGTAAGAAACTGAGGTATTGTATCTTTTATTTTTTATTTGTAAATATACAAAATATGCTAGATATAAAATCAGCAGCAGCCATGGGACAACGACGGGGATGTATAGATCAAGAGTCATTTCCTTGTTTGCAATATATTCTCCGACATTAAAACAGGCCCTATCCATTAGCTTCTACAAAATATTTGAAATTGTTCACTTCTTCGTGGATGCAACTTATATAAGTTAATTCATCTACCAAGAAAGGAATTTTGTTTTAGTCCATCTAAAGCTCGGTATTTCCAGAGTCCCTCCAGAGTCACCTCTTCCAGCGACAATTGTCTGTAAAGATGAACTTGATATAAAACAAATTTGTGCTCTCGTATAATAATGAAAAAACTCATTTGGCGATTTATAATTTTGTTTTGATTACACAAGAGGCGGTTTGTACACCATTCACATAATATTACTTAAAAACAGAAAATAACCATCCGCAATCCAAAGGACTCGACTAGATAACTGAATTAATGAGAAACTATTTCCAAGCCAGAAGACCAACACTTCGAATATAAGCACATTGGTCTATAATATTAATATTATAATCTAAATGGTCTCACATATTCATTGTTCATAAATTATTGAATACTGTTGCCAGTCTTTTTCAGCTATATGACTTCTCTACATATCCTCAAATCTGTACTAACCTCTAAAAACGAGTTCTGCTTTGGGGACAGTGACTTGGTAGCCAATGGTGCCCACTGATTCCATTCCTCTAAATGATGTGTCCATCTCTGCTACCACCTGGTAATAAAACATACATTGCTACGTACATGATGATTAAGGTAAAACTCTTGCATAATACACTATCCCTCCCTCTTAAAAATATTGATGAATGAAATTTCATTTAAAAAATCGATGAAAAAAATAATGTTATCGGAAAATAAGATTATCAAGTCTATGTAGGATCTGGTAAGTATTTTGGAGTACAGAATTTTCTCTGATATAGAAGTATATTTTTCCATTGGCATGGCAAAATATAAAACCATGCCACCTCATCCATTATCATTATTATAGATTGACAGAGATAACAAGTTTTTACCAATCTTATCAAAGCAATCATCAACTTATTATTGTAGCATTGAAACATAATTGGAGCCAAAAACTAAAATTGGAATTAGTATCAAAGCAGTGTTGTGCCTGGTAATATTATATGGGGCATGAACAACTGACAGTGATATTTGGCTTTAACTCCCTTAGATTAAAATCAAGTCAATTAACACCAACAGTAATTGTTAGTAATTCTGTAAAATTATGTTAAATAATATTTTGTGTAGTGCTTGCGTAAGTGGTGGTGGTGGGTGGTAAGTGGTGGTCAAATTTATTACAGATTCTTGTAAAAAAAAAACATTCTGATTGGATTCACAGTCAAGATGCAATCCCCACGGACATGTATTTCACTGAAGAGTGTATTTATGCATAATTTTTCACTATAAAAGCATCAAAGACCATATACCTGCAACTGTTCACTAGCTTGTTTGAAATAGCAAATGTGGAAACCGGCGGCTCCCAACGTGGCAGACACCTCCGAATCTGTTGGAAACAATACCATTACAAAAAGAAATCATAGTCAAGTATAGTCTACTAATGAATGCATCTTCAAAGGAATGATATCACAATTTAATTAAATCACAGCAATTAGTGTTATTCAATGCCTTTAAAATATCATAAATTGTGTGATTCTGACATTTGGTGGGTGGGCGTAAAGTTATTTGTTCAACATGTTTTTGATTTTGATGTTGTTAATGAGCTGGGCATCTAATTTGAACTATGTACATTACTGATTATCATCTAAATACATGATTTTTGTTTGATCTATTTAGGCGTAATTGTGGAATATAAACATAAGAAAACTGAAAACGGGGAAGAAAAACAGAGTGAGGAAACCTGCATATTTTGGGCATTCATAGGCTGTAACTTTAGAAAATTTTAAACTACCGTCCATCGTGTATCTCGCCGCGGCGGACGCTATTGCGATTTCACCTCCCATCACCCTCGCACCAGACTGGTACACCAGTTCAGCTCCGAGAGCCAGCCGCTTCGTCACAGACTGTAATGATAAAATTACAAACAATGATCGAAACATCCACAACTACATTATATAGATATGGTTAATACAAACAAAAACGCAAATAATGCGCGTTTAACGATTTTAAACATCTAGTGTTGTGTCTATGCACTGTAAAAATATCAGCATGGTGTCTGTCATTATATTATAAACTAGCTGTTCCCTGTCAGCTTCACTGTGTTATACCATCTTTGTTAAGTCAAAAACTATAGATTCTGTATAAGAAATCACAAACATATATTAAAACCTGCAAAACATGGTGCATCTTATGATATAAGCATTATTCCCATCAGTTCAGTAGTTTTCGCAATATAACCGAACAAAAAACTTGCTCTCCATTTATTAGTATAGATTTCAATGAAAATGATACTCCCTTCACTTGGAGCTATATAAGTATTTAATAAAGATTTCATTCACCTGTAAGTAGTGGCCAACGAAAATGGCAGATTTCTCACTAAAGTCAGGCTTTCCGATTGCAACAGCCACTGTGTAATCAGAACCCTTGTACTCAAAAGTGCCTTGGGTTGCTGTAAGCTTACATTCTTGAACCTGAAATTAATTATATATGTATTTTATTATTTATGAAAAGTTTAAATTTTAAGAGGATTTTTGTTAAAACTATATTCATTATTTAAATTAGTAAATGTTGCAATAATTATGAGAATACATAGATGTTTAATTTTAATTGCTCAAATCAATATTAATATGAATGATAAATTGTATGTAATTTAGTGTCAAACAAAGTGAATAAATATCCATCATAATTGTGAACTATGCTATTGAAGATTTGGCAAGGCTGTGGGGTGTTTAAGTTAAGTAAATTCATATGACCTAGCCTTGATTAGTTTTAAGACCCACAGTCTTACCATCTTTTTGTATGTTACAAACGTCTCTTTACCTGTGCTGCACCCTTAACTCTTATCTCATTAGTGAGTTGATGGATCAGGTTGAAGTTCACATTCCCCGCGGGATCCACGTCGCCTAGAACCACTGGGAAAGCCTCTGTGGGGGAAATTTGCTTGGTGCCAATGTACGTTGCACCAAGTTTATAACCGTTTTGCGCAGAGCTCATTGTGAGGGTGTGGGACATCTGGAATAAAGTGTTGTTCACTGAGAAGTAAAACCGATGACTGACAGAAGGAGTTTAAAAATACAACACAACATTTAAAAATCTTTTTCCTTCCATGGGCTTTAAAACTTAGTTGGTTACAAATTATTAATTGCAAAAAGTGGTGTGGCAACTTAGCAAGTTCTTCATGTGACGGTTATCTCATTCACATGAAGAAATACAAAAATATATTTATTGCAGCTGGAGCTGATATATGAATTTGAATTAATCAAATTTTAAAACATATAAATCTTATTTTTTTAGTTCTTTATCCCTTGAATTGAATTTGAATACCTTCAGTGAGAATACAAAAATTATTTGTAAATTCTTCTGCAGACTAAAATATGGTTTAAAAAAAAGAAATGAAACTTAATAATATAAACTTAACTATGAAGTGGACTTAAAATAACCGAAGTATTGGCAAAGCAACATACCTGAAAATGGTTTGAAATACCCTTGTTAACCATAAGCTTGCCGCCTTCAAAGTTAACTGGCATCACCTCTGAAATTTACGTAAAAAACTTTTTGTAAAGTAAAGCCCTTTAAATCTTTTAACAATACTGATATAGTCAGACATTATCTGTTCACAATTAATGCAGCTTATTTTCCGAACACCAATATTATTTAAAATGTAAAGAAATTAAAAATTCATTTAGAAAAATGTCAACTATATAGGTAAAGATTGTTCTCCGTCAATGCCATTGAATTAACTCCCTCGCCTATGGATACAGAATAATAAATATCACATATTGGAACATATTCAAAAATGTATATATGTAGTTTTTGAAATAACAGCAGTACCACAGGAATTTGTAAGACTGCAACTACAAATTTCAGAGAAATATGTAGACAAGTATATGACACTGTCATTAACATTCATTAAACAGTCATTAAATGTATGAAGTTGTGTCATTATACGTTAGCAAACACCTATCGCGAAAGGTAATTACGAGAAATGCTAGGGAATCTGGTTACCACTAAGAATCTTATCGTTCAAGAAAAAATATGGAACTTTTTTAATTTGAAATATATGTAGAAGAAAATAGTTTTTTTATGATTTTAATTGAGGCCATGAGAGACACAAGTTATATTACATCATAAGGTAACCCAACTTTTTTCGTTTACTTTCCGAAAGTGTTAACATAAATTTCTGACTGAATAGGTGCGATGATTATTATTTCTTTAGTCTATTTGTGAATTGTTATAATAACTAACCCTTTTTCCTGGCATTTCTAAGCTTACCTTTGGTTTTTTTGTGCAATTCATCTAAAGTTCCAGGGTTATCACGTTTGTTTTCATTATCCAGATTTTGTAAATCGGTGCCGGTAAGGCCCGCGTTAGAAACACGGTATCTGCTTGCTATGGCACCCATTTTATTTTCTTACTCCTTTTACTTTCCGTAAATCCCAAAAAAATCGATGAACAGTGTGCAGCGAAACACAAATCAGTTGAATAAAAGACAATCGAAGTGAAGTTGACAGTAGATTATTACAAAATGAAAATGATATATGAGAAATGTAGATAAATAATAATTATACTTGTGCATCATGCACATATTACGACTTCATGGGTATTGATAATTTCAAAAATAATAATTTAGACCAAAATACTTTTTTTATCTCATGACCAGTATACCGTTTTTGTATGAGAAACAATCTCTAACATATCGAATTCAATGTTGATTCATACCTAAACTACTTCTTGTATTAACTGATGTTTTTGCTTTCAGTCCCGAGACTATTAAAGCTTCATCTGACGCAGAACCGATGGGCTAGCCAGAACCCACAGGTTTGGGCCCTCCGCTGTGGGTAGGGCCACGCATGTGCTCATGCGTGCGTTTAACTATGGTGTGTCATTTAAGGGCCATCGAGGTAGTGGTTCGGACCGAAACCCCGATGGCCGTCGACTGTGCAATTAGCTAATCGGTGGCTGGGGGCAGTGAGAACCGCCCCGGAACGCGGGTGTACCTTGTGTACGCGTTGTGTTGGTCTCGCCGTGCTCGGAGGCGTGTAGTGTGTTTGTTGTTGCACTAACTGTGGGTGTAGTGTTGTCCGGCGGGACCCCCGGCAGTGGGTCCGGCGTGTCTAAGTCCCCTTCCTCGACCGGGTCGATTAGGACGTTTCGCGGGCGACGCTTGTTGACGTTCGCGTTTTTGTCGGGTTGGTAATTTGCTGCGCTTACCACCAGAGGGTTGGGATGATGTTCGGCTCTATCGAAGAACCGTTTGGTCAGGTCTTTAAAATATTCGCGATTCGTCGGGAGTCTGCAATCGCTGTGCAGGTCGACGTTGCGTTGATACCACTGCGCACCGGTTGCGCGGCGGATGAACTTATTTTGTACTATTTGCAACTTGTACAAGCGAGTAGGGTGCGTGTGGGCGAAGGTCATGCATGCGTAAGACATAATAGGTCGTACGCATAATAATAATCAGGTCTTATATAATAATAATTTGTGCCTTAAGGGCATTTTACTTTTAGCGTTAGTTAAGTTGTGTAGCCGGCCGGAGACGAACGCGGCTCTATTGCGAACGTTATTAATGTGCGTAGTAAATGACATACGCGAGTCGAAAGTGACTCCTAAGTATTTGACCTTTTTCTCCCAGGGGAGCGGTTGGCCATAAAGGGATATTTGCCCCAACTTTCTGCATTGACGAGGGCCATTATAAAGATGTGACGGGTAAGTACTTCGTGTGAAGTGAATCGCCACACTCTTTTCGGGATTTATTTCTATTCTCCATTTGCGGAACCAATCGCCGAGGCGGTCGGCAGCGCTTTGGAGTCGAGTGGTTAGTTGTCTAAGGTTGCGGTCTGAATAAAAGAGCGCCGTGTCATCCGCGAAAAGCGCGAGATTGACGTGGGGGTCTTTAGGTATATCGCTCGTGTAGAGCGTAAAGAGCAAAGGTGAGAGGCAGGAGCCTTGTGGTACGCCGGCCGTGAGGCGGCGGCTTGTGGAGAGGGTGCTTTTAACTCGATATCGAAAAGAGCGGTTCGACAGGAAGGCTTGGATGGTGTGTACGAGCCTATCTGGCACTTTGAGTGTGTACAGCTTGTAAAGCAAGCCGTTGTGCCAGACCTTGTCGAATGCTTTTGCGACATCGAAGAAAAGAGCCCCTGTACTAATATGTTTAGGGTGATTTAGGCCTTTTAGGATATGTTCCGTTAGGCGGAATAGTTGATCGGGACAGGAATGTCTAGCTCGAAAGCCGAATTGTTCCGCCGGCAGAAGGCCGTTGGAAAACACGTGCTCATTGAGCCTGTTTAATAAAAGCCGCTCGTAGAGCTTCCCCAGGCAACTGAGGAGGCTGATGGGACGATAACTAGAGGGCTGGTTGGCTGGTTTATTAGGCTTGCGAATGCCGATAACCCTGGCTTCTTTCCAGTCGTCCGGAAAGGAGCAACTGGAGAGTAAAGTATTGTAAATGGTCGCCAGTAAACAGATAAGCGGCCCAGGGAGAGCTTTAAGAATTTTGTTACTAATATTATCTGGGCCCGGGGCGGATTTGGGTTTAAGTTTTTAATAATATCTTGAACCTCTTCGGGGGTCACTGAATTCAAAGGATCGCCTTCCGGTGGAAGCGCAGCCCTAATCTCGATTACGCGGTCCACCTCCGTTAGGTGGGCTGTATCGATGTGTTCGCGCGATGGCGTACATTGCTGCTCTAGGTTGTCCGCAAGGCATTCGGCTTTTTCGGAGTCATCTAGGGCTACTGAAGCGCTATTAGGTCTAACTAACGGCGGTAGAGATTCGCGGGGGTCTGCTTTCAGACTGCGGACCAACCGCCAGTAGGCGGTGTGCGATGGCTCGATGTCCTCTAGGAGAGTGTCCCACGTTGTATGTCGGTGTTCCGATACACGATCTTTGACTTCTAGCTGAAGGCGTCGAAGTAGGGTTCGGTTCGATTCCGATCGGTATCGGTCGAAAGCGCGTTTGGCTGCATTTTTCTGCCTAATTAGGAGTCGCAGGTCGGGCGGAAAGTTAAACCGTCGATCGCCCGACAGTTTAACCGTCCGTTCCGAGTCTGCGACTGTGGAAGTGATGGTTTCTCGGAGACTTGCTATCGCTCGATTTGCGTCATCGAACGTAGCTATCGTCTCGGGTAGGTCGACTAAGTCCTGGGGGTCCAAGGCCTTGAGTTTGACCTCAAGACGATGCCAGTCCACTACGGATTTGGTCGGAGGGACCGCGCCGGCGTTCTGGCCCAGTTTACACAGGACGGGCCTGTGATCTGAGTCTAGTTCATGGATTGTCTCTATCGACTCGGACTCGATGTCGAGCGAGACCTCCTTGAGTAACATGATATCTAGGATACTCGGTGTCGCGTGTTGGTAGTTGTCCACCGTAGGATACCTAGTGGGAGTCGCAGGAGCAATTATGCTAAAGTTTAAATTATCGGATAAGCTAAAGAGATGCTTTCCGTTGTTATTTGGGATGCTGTGGATGTCCCATGAGCCGTGTTTGCAGTTTAGATCTCCTGCAATTATCACGGAGGGGCCTAAGTTGAGTAGCGTATCTAGGTCGCTTTGTAATAAGGTTTTGTTCCCCGAGAGGTAGGCTGAGACTAGTACAAGCGGCCTATGGCCGGTGAGCGCTAACCTACACGCGGATGCCTCTATATGGCTTAGCTCTGGAATGTCGAGCGGGCTACAGTGCAAGGACCGTTTGTAATAAATTAAGGTGCCTCCCAGACGGTTTGCTAACCGGTCGTGGCGGACTATGTTGTAGTTTGCGATTCTGGGATCGCGTACACTAGGTTTTAAGAATGTCTCTTGCACTAGAAAAATATCTACGTTATAATCGCGAAGGAATTCCGCGATTTCGTCCCTTTGACCCTTTATGCCGTTTGCGTTGAAATACGAAACAACCAGAGCCCGAGGTTTTGTTCTACCTGCGGTTGTACTTCCCATTAAAGTTTTTTATGAGTTCTAACTAACGACGCGGCGGAGCGCGGTTTTATTGCGCGGACTATTAAGTTTATGGTTGGCTTGTAAATGCCCAGAGGGCTTCTACAAGCATTTTATGTTCGCTAATGGCTTTAAATCGCGCGTTGCCAGATGTGGCGGCCGCTATTTTAGCGGACAATACGGCGAGTTCTTGTCTATTAATGCGGTCTAATAAGGCGCAGATGTTGGCAATTTGGGCGAACGGGTCGTCCTTGTTTTCGGCGAAAACCGACGGTGTCGACTGCACCTGCGGCGTCGGCGCCGTTTGATAGGCGGGCTGCGATAGAGTGATTGGTCGTGAGGCGACCGGGGGTGCAACTACCTGCGCGGCCACCTGCGGTTTCGCCCAGGCGTTTACGACGGGTACGGGCGCGGGAACGTATTTCACGGGCGCGGGTTTGGGCAAAGTAGATTTCGCGGGATTTCGCTTTTCTCGCGGGAGTTTTTGGGGCCTTAGCGCAGCCCCTGTAGCTAGCCGGGTGGCCGGTGGTATGACAATTAACGCAGTCCGGTGGATCTGCGCAATCTTTTGGCCGCGTACAATCGGGCGTGCCGTGGTCACCGGTGCATTTGACGCACCTAGGGTGAGCGAAACAATTATTAGCCGTGTGGCCATAGTGTTGGCAGTTGTGGCACTGCGCCACAACTCCCGATCTTCGCGGGGGCTCGATCACGAGGTCGCTGAGCCCACAGACCCTCTTCAGGTTGAAGATGGCCTTACCTTCCGGGGTAGGGTCAAGTTCAACCATCACCATGTCCATAGGGACACGGGTTCTGGGGTGTCTGAGGCGTCGGACGGCATGCACAGGGTATCCCTGAGTGCGGATGTCGGTTTTCGCCTTGTCGACATCCGACTCTTTGGGGACGCCCTTGATAACTACCCGAAGCTTGCGTTCTTCGGGCAAAGAGTAGGTGTGATAAGATAGGTTTTATCTTATTTTCGCGCAAGTATTTCGTTACGCGGCGGAAATCGTCCGTTGTGTCAAGGTATACGCGGATACCCATTTGTGTATTTTTCGACCGGGGGTCGCGGATATTGTGGCGTTCAAACCACGAAGAAATTTGGTGCCACTTAGCCTTCTCCTGAATGATGATGGGTGGAGGAGGCTTTATTTTTCGCTCGGAGGCGAATTCGGGCATCGGTTTAGCCGCCGCAGCCGCCTTTTTGGCGGGCGTCGCGGTGGGTTGGTTAGTTGAAGCGGCCTCGCATTCGGGGTCGCTGTCGGCAGCGGGGCGTTTTTTGCCCTTCTTACGCGACTTTACGACGGTGAAGCCGTCGACGTTCGCGTTTTCAGCGGGGGTCGTTTCGACCTCCATGTCCGATCCGCCGTCCGATTGTGAGTCGGGAACGACGGCGCGGAAGGGGGCCGAGATGGGATGCGCGGAAGGCGCGATGGGTACGATCGCGGCGGCGGAGGTCGACGCGACAGGCTTTTCTTGTGTCGCTGAAGGCGACGCATTAACGGGCGCTGAGAGCGCCGGAGATGACGGCGAGGCGACTGCCGGTGAAGCCGGGCTGTCGCTGGCGAACTCGACAACTAAAAATTTTTCTTTCGCGAACGCGAGAAAGTTTGCCCACACTTCGGGACATCGTTGGCGAAGGAATTCCTCTAGGAGGGAACCCATTTCGAGCTCTTGAGCCTTTGGGGCTTGCGCCCCGCCGGCGTGTAAGTTACTAAATAGGCCTCCCCACCTTGCGGCAGGGAGGTGTGTGCCTAAAACTAACAACTAATCCGCCTGCGCTTTAGGTGCGCTAGGGTGGGTACCTAGCTGTCGCCTATCGCAACAAGCACACAGTTATTAATAAAAACAATGCCGCCTCTGAGGCGAGCAGTGTGTATAGAATTCTACTTACAGAACAGGAACCTGCCTGTTATATATTTAAAATGATATTTTGGCAACTATTTAACTTCCTGAAAATTAAACATTACAAATATATGGCTTTTATGACATTAAAAACTATATCTATGGTAAAAAGAGAAAAGATAGAATTTACTTAATTTTATAACAGAGTTCAATACTTTTATTACTTTACACTTATAACTAGCTCTCAAAATAAACCTTTGGCTTCCATAAATATACTTAGTAGCTAAATTCGCTGATTATTAATTTTAATATTAATATTAAATAGTGTTCTAAACGATTCCTAGTAGTTAACCTATAAAACTTAAAAAAAGAATTTCTGGAAAACCATAAATTTCCGCAAAAAATCCTTCTAGTATTTACTTCAATGACTTATTAACTACCTATTAAAATTAAAATTATCACGAAAATCGTGCGACCGTAAACTAAAGCAAATCCAATCAAAATGTTCGTCGAATCGTCGTGTCTGGCCTAAAGGTCCTTGATACTGGGCCATAAAAAAAAAATACTATCGTGTCAATCATTATCATCAAGTGTCAACTGTCAAGTCAAGTCATTGAACATTGACAATGACAACAGGATTGATGTTTCGATACGTAAGAAATAAAACAAATATTGATTATTAGTGATCTCCTGTTAGAAGAGATTCGATTTTTTTAGTTATTATTTGTATATTACAATTTTAATGTGTGAATATTTATAATATTATAATTGAGAATTTTAAGAAAAACTTGACATTGGCGGAATTGTGTTATCTCTCAAAGCAAGCCATTAATTAAAAAAAAGAAAGAAAGAAAAAAACAAATATTTGAAATGCCGAAAGTAGTATCCAGGAGTATAGTCTGCTCGGACACTAAAGATCAAGAGGAATACAATGAGACAAAACCCTTGCACATTTATTATTGTTTGTGCGGTCAAATGTCTCTCATTTTGGACTGCACCATAGATCGCTTACCGTTACGACCCACCGACGAAGCCAGAGTTATTGATGGTTCAAAGCACGCTCACAAAATCACCGCCGATCCAGACGAAACCGTTTATCTTAAGCGGGAAAAAGGCATCGAGAGACAGTATAGATTGAAATGCAAAAAGTGCGCTATACCCATTTATTACAAGCACAAACAGGACAGTAACGTTGTATTTATAATGCACGAAGCTCTTGTGCAAACAGCAGGAGAAGGTACAGTGACGGATATTTACAAGCAAGTGGCTCTCGCCCAACCTAAAAAGATTATGGTCACAAAGCACACAAAGAATATGGGCAAATTTAGCTCAGTAACAGTCTCTACAATTGATGAAGAAGAAGATGAAATAGAGGCTAGAGAAGTGGCAGACAGCTATGCAAACAATGCCAGGATTATTGAGAAGCAGCTGGAACGGAAAGGGATGAATAAAAGACAAGCAGAAACTCCATCAAGCAGCAGCGCTGATAAGAGACCGAGAGGGACATTGATTGAAAAATAATTATTATATTGTGTACATGTTATTAAGTCTCTTCTGTTACAAAAAACAATGTTTATATTTTGATTACATCCAATATGTTTTTCTAATGATTGCACAGTTTACCAAAATGTAATCTATGTCTTTACCCTGATTTTTTAAATTGTGCCCTGATTTCATAAATTATGTACTTCATAAGAGTTACTTATGTATTGTATTGTAGTATTAATTGCTATAAGAAGTTGGCTTATGACCAATGGCCATTTCTGCCTGAATTTTATGCTTAGTTCCTTTAATATGATTGTATAGGAAAGGTCACCCCATTTCTATGACCATATAGAAAAATGTAAATGGGGTGATACCCATAAATGAAACAAATTACACTCATTCTGAGAACAACTATTTATGACTTATTTTTGATCTTAAAACATGGTCCAATTTTTATTGCCTTCGGCGCTGAAGATAGTGGGGTAGATTCCCACACAGGATAACTACTTTTGTGATCAACAGATAAATATTTAGTATCTGGGTGTTTGTCCATGGGAAATATATGTAAATAAAACATCCTTACAATACAGTTGAATGTTATCTTACAGCAGTAAGGGGAAAGTTTTTAGGAAAAAAAGTATTAAAAATCATAACTATGAGGGTGGATCAAAAAAATTCCTGGCCTAATGAAGAAAATAAAATATCAATATTACGGTATATACAGCGTGTCGTTACCATCGCGACAATAAATGAACACACATATAGGGGATAACTTTTTAAAGTTGTATTAAACATTTAAATTTTTTAAACATCAATATTTACAGAGTTATTAAATTTTCCAAAACAAAGAATTTTAGAACATCCCTCACCTATAAAAGCGTAACGTAAAGTTCATTTGTAAAGGTCACAAAGCATATGAATGGGTTGAATGAATTTTTAAGAGAGAGAATTTTTGAGTTTGAATGAATAAAACATACTGTTAAAAGGAGAGGCTTGTAATGCGGCGCTGTGGCGCGAGTTGTATAGGTGTTACAAATTTTGTTTCTTTTTTACTTAATTAGTTTGTTTGAAAAATATTTTTTTTTATTATGTTTAACGTCTATTTTGTTTAACGTTAATATTTTTTTATGATTATTGGCACGTAGCGTTAGACGTGTGTTCATTTATTGTCGCGGTGGTAAAGACACCCTGTATATATTACCTCTTTTTTTGTAATTTTTTTCCTCAAAACCTTAAAATATTACACAATTTTTTTTTCTTTTTTGAATAATTTAGCTTCAACTCATTTCCAGGGCTTATATTATAATAACCCTTTTTTCAACTTTTCTTCTATACATATAATAAAAATGTAACTTATTGTTATCTGTACATGGAATGTACAGCATGTATTTTAAACTTAATTGATTATTCTGGTCATTAAGGAGATCATTCTGAACAATTCAGAGTAACAATTCTTTTGGCAACTCAAATAACATTTGTTTTTTTTTTTTTTTGGTGTTGGATCGTCCACGTAGCCTTGAGGCCTTTACAGATCCACTGGGCATGAGGTGGCCGGGCGCTGAAGGTGCCTTGCCTGTAAGTCAATTAAACTACATCTAATTCAAATATCTTTATTCAATATAGAAGCATTACAATTACATAATGATTGCAAAAACACTACCACCATGCACCGGTTCGGAAGGGAAAAGCGAAAGAAACTCAGCGGGACATATCTAATATATAAAATTCTCGTGTCACGGTGTTTGTAACTGAACTCCTCTGAAATGGCTCGACCGATTTTCGTGAAATTTTGTGTGCATATCGGCCATGGTGGGGAATCGGACAACATCTATTTTTCATCCCCCTAAAAGTTAAAGGTGGTCCACCCCAAACATTTTTTTCTACCCTACAAATAATTTATATGGCAAAACAACGTTTGCCGGGTCAGCTAGTTTTTTTTTATATATGGTACTGTTGGAAGATAGGAGGGTAGTAGCACACTGAAACGGTCTGTATAAGTAATAGAGCTCGCTGTGTTCGGGGGACTTTCTCGTGAGCCGTTGTAGCATGCGGAAGCTCTACCCAAATTAATAACGGGTGTGTTAACGTGTAACGGCTACTTAGAACTGTAGTTAAACTCTACGTGGTTTGGCTTGCTGGCCACTAGGTTCTTTTTAAAAAGGTAAAAATTCCGAACAGTACGTCTCGTTTTTCAAGCTAGAAAAAAATTTTAATCGATAGAGAAACGTTAATAATTAAATATTACATACATGAAAACCAAGGCAAACACTTACTTTTAATAAAAGAAAATATTTAAAACTTTTTAATTTCACTAAATAAATCCGCCATTTTGTGTTTGACAACATGTATAAATATACGAATTCACACACTTTTCCAAATTATAGCCTTCGTTTTATTAAAAAAGAGTCTTTAAAAATACTAAAAGTACTGTTACACTGAAGTTTTCTGGGTGGTCATAAAAAAAGAACCTAACAACAAAGGCTAAGGCGGGAGCTTTGCTCCCTTAACCTTCTAACCTAACCTATCCCGGATCGCTCTGTGTCGGATCTGTGACTCATTTTGAACCTAATATTCGAGACATTAAGTGTACACTAAGTCACAAATTTTAAATTTTAGAAATTGTTAATAATACATGTTCATGAAGTAGAAACTTGTGTTTTTGTGATATATCTGTGTATTTGTGTCTTCTTACAACGTAAAAAGTGAAAACGTAAGTTTTTAACTTAAAATAATAGTCTATAATGAATAATGGACGCACAGTAATGACAGATTTCAGTTGTGTGAAATTTAAAAAGTTTGTTAATTTTTTCCTCATAATCTAGTGGTTTTCATTGATTATAACTTATATAATATTTAGTTATTAACATTTCTCTATAGATTAAAATTTTTTTCTAGCTTGAAAAACCAGACGTACGATTCGGAATATTAGCCGTATTAACATGTTTATAATGTATTAAAGTAAACTTCAAAGAGCCTGGAACGATCAATTCATTTCCACCACCGACCACGATAACCGACATAGCTCAGATTAGTGACCCGGTTTTATGAGATATTATGGCCTACAGGCCTACCCATTGCCACTAGTTACCGGTGTAAATACATGGAGTGTTGACAGATGACCTGTGCAAATGTATGAGAAGTCATACCGAGGTTACTAAAACCAGGAAATTGTATCTGTTAGCGCCGTTTCTCAAAAAAATCCACATTTACCCTCTAAACTCTAATACCTTCTCGGGCGTTCTTACCCCCCCTCACCCGCACGCCTACGTATTACATATATAATGCGCCGAGAGCAATCGGCACAAAAAGTAATAGAATACTAACTACCGCGCCGCGATCTTATAAAATATATTAAAGGTGATAGGGAAGCTTTGTGCGCACTAAAGGAAAGGACAACCGCAAATTCGACCGCCACCTCGACAACATCTGCATCTGGAGTTGAATCCTGAAGTAGCTACGGAGAAGGCGCCTTGCAGTTACTAAGGTAGGCGTGCAATTTATGTAATGAACGCCCTTTCCTTTTCACCAGCATCCTTTTACAGTCCAGGATCGAAGGAACACAAGCTTCTTAAAATTATTTAGTCCATTATCAACCACCTTATTATTTGGTTCTTCGAGCCGGATTTCTTACAGAATTATTTCCTGTATACCCGCATATATTTATATAATCCCTATTACTAATATATTTCACAAGCTGTCTTGTATATTCAATAAGTATTTTCAAGCAGCTTCTCACCGCCCTTATAGTGTTGCCTATATTATATATAAATTCCTTAAATTTCCCGCTATTAGGCACCCTATAAGATTACTTTATATAACCGCATATACATTATATATTATATACACAATACCTATACTTTTCGTTAAACATCACTATTTAAATATTTATAATATAATTATTTTCAATTTGTTAAGTTATTTATTGAAAACGTGGTTCGCGCGCATAAAACTACCCGCTTCTAAGATTATTGTCCATTGTTCGGTATCGAGAAGCTTCGAGAAAAATGGCGACTAAAATATCAGCTAATGAAAGTAAGCAGTTATTAAGTATACTTTTAGCAAAACGTAATGCTTTATTCGAACGCGTTCAAGATATTTATGAATTAGCTAAAAATGCATAATTATCTCAAGATAGTAAAGATAAATTCCTTAATTCATGCAGTGGACATGACAGAACAGTGGACATGATTCGCACAGAGTTTCATTCCGTATTGGATGAGTACAATAAACAGCTGTTGACTATCGAGCCCACAGCTCAGCCTAACTATCAAGCCTACGCATCTTTTGAAGACCTTTATTGTTTTATAAAGAGCGTAATGATGAAGTGTTCAAACTCATCATCGTCAGTTAGTGCCGGCACCACGACTCCTAGGTCCAAACCTAGACTTCCGCCTATAGAACTTGTCGCGTTTGACGGAAATATAAGTAACTGGCCGTTATTTTATGCTAGTTTTAAATCTACGGTTCACGACAACCAAACACTCACGGACGCAGACAAACTATACTATCTGATCGGAAAGCTGTCCCCTAAGGCTCAATCAGTATTTGCTGGTGTGACTCCAAGCGCTGATAATTATAATATTATTTTTAAATCGCTCCTTGATAGATACCAGGATACTCGTGTCTTGGCATCGTTTTACTTAGACCAGACTTTCAATCTTAAATTGTCGGGTCGAGCATCCGCCGCTAATTTTGAATTATTTATGGATAAATTCGTAACTGCGGTAAACTCCTTAAGGAATTTAAACATAGATAACCTCTCGGACTACATTCTTTGCATATAGCTTTAAAAAAATTCGATAAAGAATCCATACATTCATTTGAGATGTGTTCTCGTGAACACAAAATACCTACACTCGATTTATTTACTAAATTCGTAAAGGATCAATGTCGTATATATCGTAATATGCAATCTAATTCGTCCGAGTTTTCTAACAATAAATCAAAACAAATGTATGAAATGAATTCTCGCAATACTCCGCCTAACCCGCAGTCTTATGTTACGTCATCGCAATCTGTGAAGTGCCTGTGCG